ATGGATCCGAATATGCACTAGGTCGAATAGTAAAAAAGGGTGCCCCGGTAAAATCGGGGTTTGTGTTCCCATACTGGCAGAGCCCACAACCGGTCAGCCTTATGGTCATGCCTTGACAAGACAAGCCTCCGGCAAACCGTTCAGGAATAGCAGATGTCAAATACGGTGTCCTAGGCGCACCAATGCAAATGCAATGCAAAGAAACACACAAGTGTAGTCAAAAACAGATATCATGAGTTCGAGTCAAGTTCTCTAAATCCCCAGCAGAGTCGTCAAAAACTGTAGACGTCCCCGAACGCCCCGAGAGGAACGAGCTCCCGTTCCGTTCGTTTGGGGTCACTATAGCTCAGGACTCTCAAATTGTCACGGTTCTAAATCTGAACCAAAGAGTCCAAATCCGGCAAATCATTTTGAGAAAACAGATTTTTGAAAGAAGTGCCAAACATGGACTGCTTTGCCAGATACAGAGTCACCACCTAAATATTTTATTTTGGGGGAAATTTAGGAAACCCTGACTCGTTTGCCTAAGGCCACGTGTCCGTCATCACCAAAGTTGCCTCGGCTCGGGAACTTGGGAGAGCCATTATTTAACTTCTTTTTAAGGTGAAGGTGAGAAAAACAAACCATTCAAAGAAAACCAAACAAATACAACCACCTAATACTCTACAAACCACCTCCAACCCTAAGCTTTAAGACCCAAAAGAGATTTACAAACACAAACACCAGCCAGAAGCATAAGAAACCTTATTACTCAAAGAAATCTATGCTTGATATATTTCATTATTTTGGACAGTCCCAAAATATATATATATATATATAATTGAATGAGCTGAGTTTGCAATGTTATATGCCTCTCTTGAACTCAAATTCTAACAACCTTCTGTCAATAGCAAGTGTCATGTTTTAATGAATAATTCACTGAGCTTCAGACCAAGAACAAAGTAGACTATGAGCAGTGGATAACAATTTGTCAATTTCCTACTAATACCAATACTAGTTTTCCTGCCCAAAGTGACCCATATACTTTGGCAGTTTGGCACTTGACAAATAAAATGGATACAAG